CACCATCATAAAAGAGAAAATTTCTATTAAGTATATATCCACTAGCAAAATGATTGTTGATCCTTTAACTAAGCCTATACCTAGAGATGTTTTTGGGGGTCATGTGAAGAGTTTAGGTTTGCGTAGGATTTAATTTTCAAGTGAAAATTTGATACGTAATGGACATATATTTTTGTGTACTGATCATTCATGAAATAAACGTTGTTATTTTTTTTATGAAATGTTCATGAACATAATTGCTTGATTAAGCACGTAATAATGTCACCAGGCTTTACGATCGACCTTATCATACGGGTGATCTCCTTAACACTTGAGTAGCGTATAAGATAAGACTAAATCATATTGGCGTTAAATATGTGCAATATGGATCGTCTTTATACTTGTGTTATATTAATGACAATATTAAAATTTATAGTTGTCTTAATATGTTTAATATGAGACTCTAAAGAATTAAGTATGAAATACACTCGACTATATACTAAAGCCTTAGAGCTAAATATTGAGTATTAGGTTATACATTGAGCATATTGATCAAGTGACTCAAATTAGATAATTGAGTAGTATATGAATTTATGATTCGCACGACATAAAAGAGTGACATGCTTAACTTAGTGGGAGCTATATTGTGACATACATATCATATTATATGTGTTATATGACAACTGATGTAGGAAGTGACAAAATAATTCCCTACTTTGTCACTGTGTGAAACCTATGGACTCTTGTGTCCTCCTTGTATGATACCCTTCAACTTAGAGCTATCACATGAAGTCAAGATTTGATGTTGCTACTTTAATATGTTTCTAAGGGCCATGACCTATACAATCCAATGGAGTATGTTAGGAAAACAGTCAAGTTGAAATTGATTGTTATGAGTGTCTAAGAAATAATCTGTCTGACATCATCACATAAGTCTGAACAGTTATATTTTGTACATAACCAAGTAATATAATTATAACATATAGGATTTGTGTATGCTAACGGTGATGTTTAAATGATCTGGGAGTATTATAAATATAAAAGTGTTATATTAATTATATGGTGACTTAATATAATACTACTTGTTGCCTTTTGGTCACACACCCCATATCCTGTATGAAGCGTGAGAGATATATTGATATGATAGTATATTATGGTTAGTGTAGCTTGTGTGATCGAGTGAGAGATGTTGTATAAACTTAGAAGCGTTCACAACACCCATCGTAAAAAAGACATAACATTTTATAAGTTTATCAGATAAAAACTCTTTTTGTAAAAAAATATGATTCTTTGTGAGTATATAAGGGATAAAAAAATTATTTATGTTCATTTTTAAGAAAACAAATAACATTAATAAAATATATATTACAATTTTCTTTCTCACGTTAAGTTAAACCAGAAGTATACTTGGGTTTTGGAGTGTGAAGATTATCCGAAACTCTTGTAGCATTCGGTAGAAAATAAAAGACATCAACAATTGTTCTCTGTGAACAAAAAAACAAACATCTTATTCTATTACTCCCGCATTAACGTTATTAATAATTTTCTAACATAAATATTTAAATTTGATAATACATATTATTCTAACACTAAAACCCAATAATTGGTATGATTAAATTATTTCAAATGCCCATTGTGTCGGCCTTACATTTCATAAAAGGAGATATAGAAAGAATATATACGTATCGCACGTGCAAAATCTGGGGAACAATACATATATGTATA